TTCGTTTTAGTAAGAGCGTGTCCGCCGTTGGCGGATACGCCGTGCCTTTACTATATCCGATAATTTACGGACCATTGTCCCGTGGATCTTCCCCTGTCGCACTGTCATGATTGGAAGTCTGCTTTTTTAACAAATTATTCTCTCAAATGTCCGGTGTTTCAAATTGTATTGCATGAATTCTCCCGCGCTGAAGTTCTCCAGCAGTGTGCTCGACAACTTTTACTAACCTTTTCGAATACTTTATTTAGGGTATGTCAAAGATAGCCGGTGCCAGTGCCGCGTTAAAGGCCGAACGCGAAGAAGAAGAGCAGAAGCTGGCTGCACGATCTGCTGTCAACTGGAAGGTACTCTACATTTTATTTATCTGCACCTGGTTTAAGAAGAATCTCCTCTTTTTGAATCGTTCCAGGCAAATTTGGATAAGCAAAGGAAGCAGCTGGATTACAGCGATATTTTCGATGAAGACGTGGGTAGAGATGAAGTGAGTCTCATTCTCAATGCTACAACTTATTTGTTTCTCCACAATTGCTTCTTTCTGATCACTTGCGTTTTGTAGGGTTTGTGGGTATGGGAGATTGAGAATTTCTACCCCTCTCTCATTGACGAAGCGTTTTACGGACAATTTTACGACGCCGACGCCTACCTGGTATTAAAAACTACAAAGGTATTGACTTTTTGTTGTTTCTTTTTGTAAAATCTAGTCATTTTTTTATTTTTAGGAAATTTCGGGAAGCATACGACACGAGATCTACTACTGGTTAGGCGAAAAGGCTACACTTGATAAAGGAATGTGTGCCGCTGTGCACGCTGTTGGCCTGCGCAACCATCTCAATGCTACGTGTCGGTCAGTTCCTTCTCGTTTCGTTTTCTTACCCAGTGCTCTTTTGAGGCAGTACACCGGATTATTACTTTGATTTGCAATTGAGTGCTTCCAAGCTGTTATACCCGTCTCCTCAGGACCATTCGGGAAGAAATGAACGACGAGTCTGAGGAATTTTTGGATCTTTTCGGTGGAGAAGAAATTGTGTACATTGAGGGTGCTCGTACTAGTACTGGCTTTTTTACTGTAGAAAAACCTCCTCATATTACAAGGTATGTCTGTCAAATTGTGAATACGCGTTTATTGGTTTATTTTATTTTGTTTTAAGCGAAATAGTTTTTCGAATGAAATTCGTTTTTTTTTTT